CAAGTCATGAGATGAAAGTAACTACAACTATCTGGTCTTCAACCCATCGAAGCTCAGGGAAGGGAAATAGTATTACTTGAGTGAGCAGGAAGTGCAATCAAGCAACTTCCAAAATGTGCAACAAATGACAAGGACAACTGGTTACCAGGGTGTTAGGAATATTTCTTAATATTAGCTCCCTACTGACACAAAATTCCCAATCAAGCCAAATCAAAACAAGCCGAATTAAGAAATATCCAGGAGATCTGCCCTCTCAGGTGCCCCGAGGGGGAACCGGGAAGCCCCAGGACCGCGACCCCTGGGGAGGAAGAAAGGGAGACCACTGTGTTCCTCTTTTGAGGGATTACTTAAATACCCTGAGGAGCGATCCTGACACCACCCCCAGGGAGAGGTCAGAACCTGGCCAGCTGGGATTTGGAGTCCAGACCAGGCCTGGGGGCTGGAATAGATGCGAGGGACTGGGGCCTATGCTCCCAACTTGACACTGGGCAATCACCCAAAGTCTCATTTGCAACGATGACGCAACCAACTTTGGTTAAGGTCTAGAATAACTGACAGACCATTTTCAGAGGTAGGAAAATTTTCAAAACTGTCTTACCCTGTCTTGGCAAGATTTGACAGTCCTGCTTATCCATTTCCAGATACTGTGTATCCTGTCAGTGGTTAAGGCATGGACACTTCTTTGTCTAAAGGCCAGTTTTCCAAGAAGAAAACAAGCTGCAAATGGAGTGTCTAAAGTGCTCAACATTCTCTCGGGAATAGATTGCTGCTGCCAGAAATCTAAGTTATTTAAATGCCATACTCTACAGCTCTTTGAAGTGGTTGAAGATTACCTATCTATGCAGAATACAATCTCTATGTATCTAAAGAACCTGATTAGTCTAACTTTAAGTATGACAAACATAGATGACTATTGATCTATAATTCTTAATACCTATATAACTTAAAAAGACTAAGACTTCATATTAGAATATTATACAATAAACAAATGTACAACAAGTGAGGACAATCACCTCAAACTGCAAACAATGTAGAAGTATCTTGATCAGAGGTAGAAATGTACATTGCAACATGATAAATATATATCAATATATAAAAATTTTTTTTTTTTTTTTTTGGTTTTTCGAGACAGGGTTTCTCTGTGGCTTTGGAGCCTGTCCTGGAACTAGCTCTGTAGACCAGGCTGGTCTCGAACTCACAGAGATCCGCCTACCTCTGCCTCCCGAGTGCTGGGATTAAAGGCGTGCGCCACCATCGCCCGGCTTATAAAAATGTTTTAAGCAGAGCTAGAAGCATGTATTCATATAATATTCAATATAATTTAACTTTGTATCAATATACAAGCATCTATACCAATGTAATTGCCTATAAATAATAACTAACGAGTATTCACTCTACTACAAACTATTACTATAGTGGGACTAAGCTCACATTAGTCCATTATCCCATCCAATAGCCCCCTTTTTTTATTTATTTATTTATTTATTTATTTATTTATTTTATTTCTTTGTATTTTGGATTTTCAAGAGAGGGTTTCTCCATAGCTTTTTGGTTCTTGTCCTGGAACTAGCTCTTGTAGATGAGGCTGGCCTTGAACTCACAGATATCTGCCTGCCTCTCCCTCATTTTCTCTATCCATTCTTCAATTGAGGGACATTTAGGTTGTTTCCAGTTTCTGGCTATGTCAAACAAAGCTGCTATGAACATAGTTGAGCACATGTCCTTTTGGCATGATTGAGCATCCTTTGGATATATACCCCCAAAGTGGTATTGCTGGGTCTTGAGAAAGGTTGTTTCCTAATTTTCTGAAAAATCAACACACTGACATTCAAAGGGGTTGTTCCAGATGTATATTGCCTTTATTATGTTTAGGTGTGTTCCTTGTATCCCTGCTCTCTCCAAGACCTTTATCATGAAGGGATGTTGTATTTTGTCGAAAGCTTCTTCGGCATCTAACGAGATGATCAAGTGGTTTTTATTTTTCAGTTTGTTTATATGGTGGATTACTTTGACAGATTTCGTATGTTGAACCATCCCTGCATCTGTGGGATGAAGCCGACTTGGTCATGGTGGATGATGGTTCTGATGTGTTCTTGGATTCAATTTGCCAGTATTTTATTTAGTATTTTTACATCAATGTTCATGAGTGAGATTGGTCTGTAATACTCTTTCTTAATATTGTCTTTCTGTGGTTTGGGTATCAGGGTAATTGTAGTCTCATAAAAAGAGTTTGGCAATGTTCCTTCTGATTCTATTGTGTGGATTATTAACAGCCTTACTCAAACGTGCAGGAACGAGTAAGCCAGGGCATGCAAGAGCTGGTAACTAAAGAGAAACTCAATATTGCACCTTTCTGTGAATTCCTATTCTAATGGGAAAGAAAGTCATTCACACCAAGGGGTAGAAATCAAGCCGCATTGGTCAGATGAGGACAGCATCGCTGTTCGCACAAGCTGGCAAGGACTGCACTAACCACTGTCCTGAGGACACTCCTTGCATTGATTGCCACGCTCCTACCTTGTGCTCAAGTCTCAAACTACACAGAGCATAAACACAAGAGCCCAGACTCAATACATCCCACGTCTCTTACATATAGTCACACCGAGCATCCTAGGACAAAGAACAGGAGTGTGAAAACAGAAAGGCACGGGCATGAGTAGAGCGGGGAGTGTGGATCTTACTCTATTTGATTGGAGTAAGATCTTTTTTTTTTTTTTTTTTTGGTTTTTCGAGACAGGGTTTCTCTGTGGTTTTGGAGCCTGTCCTGGAACTAGCTCTTGTAGACCAGGCTGGTCTCGAACTCACAGAGATCCGCCTGCCTCTGCCTCCCGAGTGCTGGGATTAAAGGCGTGCGCCACCACCGCCCGGCTCTGAGTAAGATCTTAAAAGAGGCTTTAGAGACGGAGAAGTGGCTCAGTGGAGTAATACAGTAACATGTGAAGCCTTTGATGAAGCCGTCTTCATCTCCTCCCCACTTATACAGATCTCACACATACTAGTTCTCTCTCTCTCTCTCCCCCCCCCCCTCTCTCTCTTTCTCTCTCTCTTTCTCTCCAGAGTGTCCTGGCTGTCCTGGAACTTGCTTTGTAGACCTGGCTGTTCCTCAACCCCAGATCCACCTACCTCTGCCTCTGAATACTGGAATTAAAGGTGGGTGCTACCGTTGTCCCACTTTCTCTCTTTGATAAAGGGTCTCACTATTTAATACAGGTTGGCCACAGACTCTGTGTGGGCAGGCAGAAGATCTATAATTCCAGCATTCCTAAATCAAGATGGAAGATGAAGACAGGAGACTCACCCAGAGGCTCCCAAACTACCAAGCATGGAGGACTACGTCAATGGAAATAAAGACCCTATTTCAATAAGGCAGAAGGGCAGAAACAGCTCCCCGCGGTTGTCCTGAAATCTTCACAGGGGACACATGTGCACCATGACACTCAGGCGCTTCCTCCCTACACACACACACACACACAATTTTTTTGGTCTCACTATGCAGCTCAAACTGTCCTGGAATTCACTGTACATATCAGGCTGACCTGGAACTCACAGAGATCTCTGCTTCCCAAGTGCTGGGATTAAAGGTGTGTAACACCACTGCAAGGCACAAGTATTCTTCAAAGGAAAAAGCTTTAGCCAGGCGGTGGTGGCACACGCCTTTAATCCCAGCACTCGGGAGGCAGAGGTAGGTGGATCTCTGTGAGTTCGAGACCAGCCTGGTCTACAAGAGCTAATTCCAGGACAGGCTCCAAAACCACAGAGAAACCCTGTCTCGAAAAACCAAAAAAAAAAAAAAAAAAAAAAGGAAAAAGACGTGTGTGTGTGCGTGTGTGTGTTGACAGGCTCTCACTATGTAGACCTGGCTAGCCTAGAACTCACTATGTGAAGCAGGCTAGCCTCAAGCCCATACATATCTGCCTGCCCCTGCCTTCTGAGCACTGAGAAAAGGTACGCACCACCACACCAGGCCTTCCTGTGTTACCCTATGAAATTCCATGAGAGAGAGCATCTTATTCACCCACATTCCCAACCCTCAACGCATGGTCTGTCCCTCTGGAATCAGTTCAGAAGGGCTCTGTGGCTAAATCCTTCCAATATTCTGAGGCAGACACTGTCATTGTCACATTCATTATAGGTTAGCAAATAGAATTTCTTTTTTCCTTTTTTTGAAACAGGGTTTCTCTGTAGCTTTGGAACCTATCCTGGAACTCACTCTTTAGAGCAGGCTGGCCTCGAACTCACAGAGATCAACCTACCTCTTCTTCCCAAGTACTGGGATTAAAGACATGTGCCATCACCGCCCAGCTGTTTATTTTATTTTTAATTAAGAGAATTTTTAAGCTTGATGTGGGGGAACATACCTGTCATTACAACGTTTAGTAGTAGGCAGGAGATCAGGAATTCAAGATCGTCCCGGGTGATGAGGCAAGTTCAATGCTAGCCTGGGATATACGAGACTCCCTAATGGCTGCCCCGCTTTCAGGAGGTTGAGGCAAAGAGAATTGTGTCATCTTCCCAGACCCAACTGAGTTCAAGGCCAGCCCAGGGGACGTTCGAGACACCGTCTCAAAATTTCAAGAAGCAAAATCAAAATTTCTCCTTAAGAAAAAAAGAAAAAGAACTTTTACTTGGTGTAAATTATAAAACCAGGTTTTTATAGCAGGGCCAGGCGTTTAGAGTCCCATGAATCTGGTTTCTGCGCTGCCCCCTGGCGTCGGCCCAACATTTACTCCGGGAAAATGAAATCTCCATTTCCGGACACCCGAGGTTGGTGAACCAGTGTTATTTACATACCCACAATGCACTGCACGCAGGTTAGTGCGAATTTTAAACGTGTAAGCGCTTTTTTCTTCTCTTTCTCGCTTTCTTTTCTCCTAGTGATGTGCGTTTTGGAGACGTATGTGAGAGGAAAGCAGGCGTCATCACTTACTTCGTGGAGCTAGCGCCCATCGGTTATCTAGGAGCTGTAGTCGACCGAGAAGGGTAGGCGGGTGAACGTTTGTATACTCTGGTTTCTCTTCAGATCGTATAAATCTTTCGCCTTTTACTAAAGATTTCCGTGGAGAGGAACAATTTTGAGTCTTAACCTAATTTTTCGAGGTCCTGTTTCCACAGGACTACATAATATGTTTAAGACAGAAGCGAACTGTACTGTTTGTGTCATCTGTTTTCCCCGACTTACATATATGACAGGAAAATAGCTTGTGTGAACTAAACGATTTGCGACACTTTGCTATGGTTATTTCTCATGGGTTCTCTTAGTATCTCTGAAGCACGGTGCGTCCAGAGCTGCGGGTCGTTAAAGTTCCTGCTCCTTGTCTTAATGTGAGGTTACTGGTGAAGTCCACATGGTGGATGCCCCTGTGTCGGGAGGAAGCAGTGCTCTTGTTAGGGCCTTCTTAGCCCTTCCCAGGGGTTCTGGCTCCTCCTGTCCCTGACCCTCTTCCATCAGAAGGATAAAAAGTAAGCAAGGGAGGTGCTGACACCTAAAACTAACTACTTTCTTTTTTTTCTTTTTTTTTTAATATTTATTTATTTATTATGTATACAATATTCTGTCTCCGTGTATGCCTGCAGGCCAGAAGAGGGCACCAGACCTCATCACAGATGGTTGTGAGCCACCATGTGGTTGCTGGGAATTGAACTCAGGACCTTTAGGAAGAGCAGGCAATGCTCTCAACCTCTGAGCCATCTCTCCAGCCCCCAAAACTCACTACTTTCTTAGGGCTTTTATGGCACTGAAGTAGAAAAATTTCGTTCAATGACCTTCCACTTAAGAACGCGAAAATCAGAATCAAGAAAGGACTTCTCCAAAGAATTTATCTCCATTTATAACTGCTTTGAAGAGAAAAATGTCACTTTCCTCTCGGAAAGATTGCTGTTCCAGGAAATGTCGACAAGGGAGGACTCATCACAACCAGCAGTTTATAGAGAGTGGAAAATCCAATGAGTCCTGTCCCTAGGGTAGAGACAGGAGAGGCTGTACAGCGTGAGGCCAGCCTCCTGAGTGAAACCGTGAGACCCTCTCAGAACAACAAACACAACAGAAAACAGGGCTGGTGGTTGGCTCCGTAGGTAAGGACACATGCCACCAAGCTTGTCAGCCTGAGTTCCATCCCCAGTGTCCACACGGAAGGACAGAGCTGTCTCCTACAAGTTGTTCTTTGACCTCCACCGCACACTGTGGAAGGGAGGTGTGACTCAGTGGTGCCTTGTTACCTAGTACTGTTAAAAAAAAAAGTGATATATGCTTTTAATCCTAGCACTCAGGAGGCAGAGGCAGGTGAGTGGATCTTTGTGAGTTTGAAGTCAAACTGGCTCGCTTAGTGAGCTCCAGGACAGCCATGGCTACACAGTGAAACCCTGTCTCAAAAATAAAAATAAAGAAAAAAAAAGAATAAAAGAAAAATAAAAAGGAAAGATGCATAAAACCGTGAGTGTCTTTTACAAATAACCCACTACTTGCTCCCTAGGGACATAAAATTAAATGTATCCCTTGGTTAGGAGCACACTGATTCACTGTCACTTACTTTGTCAGGTCCATGCTGGCCAAAAGTCAGTGGACCAAATGACCGGCTTGATGAATGACAATTCACCAAATCACTGATTTACTGAAGACACATGTCCTTCAAGTATTTGTACAAGGTTTAGCAGTTCATATCGGTGGCAGAATCCACCCTCTCCCAATCCCAAGGGCCCCTTCCTCAGTGCCCCCTTTCTGCCTTGTGCTGGCCGTTCCTCCATGTCTATGACCCTGACACCCTCATACTAGCTGCTAAGAATGGGCAGTCAGGGGCCATGCAAAAGCTTTTGCAGATTTCACTGCAAACACTGTTAAATCTGTTTGTCTGTATTAGGTATCTACTTCTATAATAAAAACCATCCCTAAAATGTAGTGAGAGACAGTAAAGCTCTCACTATGTAGCTCAGGCTGGGCCTTGAACTCACTATGTATCTCAGGCTGACCTCAAACCCATGATCCTATGGCCTCAGCTTCCAGAATGCTGGGATTACGAGCCTGTGGGATTACATCTGGCTAGTAAGAATTTCTGTACCTTAGTGTTTATTTTTATTTTATTATTATTATTATTCTTTTTTTTTTTTTTTTTTTTTTTTGGTTTTTCGAGACATGGTTTCTCTGTGGTTTTAGAGACTGTCCTGGAACTAGCTCTTGTAGACCAGGCTGGTCTCGAACTCACAGAGATCCGCCTGCCTCTTACCTTAGTGTTTATGAGTCAGGAATCTGACAAGAGTTTCACTGAGCACTAGGTTTCTTCCTTTTTAAAAACTAATTTACTGTTATTTCATTTGCATTGGTATTTTGCCTGCTGTCTGTGTGAGGGTGCCAGATCTTGTGAGAGACATTTATTAGCTGCCATGTGGGTGCTGGGAATCGAGCTTGAGTCCTCGGGGAGAGCAGTCAGTGCTCTTAACCTCTGAGCCATCTCTCTGTCTCTCCGCTCCCCCCCCCCTTTTGTCTCTTGTTTTGAAACCCAGGCTGGCTTCCCAATCCTCCTGCCTTAGGCTCCTAAATGCTGGGAATACAGGTGTGCATCACCATACCCAAGCTCTGACTCGGGATCTTTTTTTTTTTTAATTTATTTATTTATTATGTATACAATATTATTCTGTCTGTGTGTATGTCTGGAGGCCAGAAGAGGGCACCAGACCTCATTACAGATGGTTGTGAGCCACCATGTGGTTGCCGGGAATTGAACTCAGGACCTTTGGAAGAGCAGGCAGTGCTCTTAACCACTGAGCCATCTCTCCAGCCCTGACTCGGAATCTTTTGTGAGGTTTTCCAGGCAAAGATACCAGCCAGACTGCTGCCCTGTGAAGGCTGGGCTGATAGATCACTCCCCACGTGGCCATGTGACTCTCTCCAAGGCCTTGGAAGACAGTACAGGCAATGGTATAGGAAGCCTCAGTTCTTCATTATGGTGGCCTTTGCTTCTAGCTGCTGAGTGTCCTCACAAGAAGGCAGTGGTATCTCTCAGAGAGATCCAGCCTGGTGTGGTGGCACCTGGAAGCATATGCTGTTGGAGTTCAAGGCCAACCTAGTCTAGAAATCGAGTTTCAAGGCAGCCAGGTCTACAGACCCTGGAGAGAAAGACAGAGAGAGAGACAAACAGAGAGGAAAGAGAGATAGAGATCAAAGAGCCTTCCAGGCCTTCCAAGGGCCTGTGAAATGGCTCAGCAAGTAAAGATGCTTGCCTCCATGGCTGAAGACCCAAATTTGGTTCTGAGATCCACATGGTGGAAATAAAGAACTGATTGCAATATATAGTGCAATAGGGACATTTGCAGTATCCCATAATAGGTTGATGACATCGGCGGGTGGTAGAATATGGCATGCAGAGAGAGCTTGACTGTGGAGTTTATTGAGAAGAAGGTACTGGGGAAGGGAAGGGAGAGACACAGAGAGAGGGAGGGAAGGAGAGAGGGGGGGAGGGAGGGAGGAAGGGAAGGAAGGAGGGAGGGAGGGGAGAAAGGGAAGAGAGAAGAGAGGAGAGGGAGAGAGGAGTGCTGCTTGCTTAGTGGGAAGACATAGATTAGCAGTGGGAGGAGCTGGTCTCTTTGCTCCTGTTCAGTGTTTGTGATTGGAAATATCTGGTGTCTCTCAAACCTGTTTAAGGTATTGGCTGAACAGAGGACAAAGTTAAGTTTAGAAAAAAAAATTAGGACCAGGGAATTGGGAGAAGTCTATCTGACCTGTTTAAGGTGGAACCTTCGGGGGCTGGAGAGATGGCTCAGAGGTTAAGAGCATTGCCTGCTCTTCCAAAGGTCCTGAGTTCAATTCCCAGCAACCACATGGTGGCTCACAACCATCTGTAATGGGGTCTGGTGCCCTCTTCTGGCCTTCAGGCATACAGACAGAATATTGTATATATAATAAATAAATTAAAAAAGAAAAAAGACTGAAATAAGGTGGATCCTTCAATTCGGCTCTCTGGAACTCAAAAGAATTCTTTGGATTTGTGAAAATTTAAACAGCAGCATATTTATATCAGAATGACTGTGACATATTTTTTGCATAATAAAAAGCATCTTTATGAATATGAAGGGCATGCTGGAGAGATTTCTCAGAGGTTAAGAGCATTGGCTGCTCTTCCAAAAGTCTTGAGTTCAGTTCCCAGCAACCATATGGTGGCTCACAACCATCTGTAATGAGGTCTGGTGCCCTATTCTGGCCTGCAGGCATGCACACACAGACAGAATATTGTATACATAATAAATAAATAAATATTTTTTAAAAAAGAATATGAAAGGCAGCGTGAGAGAAATTTGATAGCATGCACTTGTCCTCACACCTTTATAACTTGCAGGTACATGCCATAATAACTTGTATTGGTATTTTGCGGAAATTTGTTTGGTAAAGTTGTTCTTTAAACTCAACTCTCCGGGGCTGGAGAGATGGCTCAGTGGTTAAGAGCATTGCCTGCTCTTCCAAAGGTTCTGACTTCAATTCCCAGCAACCACATGGTGGCTCACAACCATCTATAAAGAGGTCTGGCGCCCTCTTCTGGCCTTCAGACATACAGACAGAATATTGTATACATAATAAATAAATAAATAAATGAATAAATAAATAAATAAATAAATAAATAAATATTTTAAAAAAACTCAACTCTCAAACTGCATCAGAGGTCTTTGAGAAGGATAAAATTTACTTGAGTTGTTGATTTAAAAAACTACAGAGAGGGGCTGAAGAGATGGCTCAGTGGTAAGAGCATTGCCTGCTCTTCCAGAGGTTCTGAGTTCAATTCCCAGCAACCACATGGTGGCTCACAACCATCTGTAATGAGATCTGGCACCCTCTGGCGTGTGGACATACATGGAGGTAGAATATTGTATACATAATAAATAAATAAATCTTAAAAAAAAAAAACTACAGAGAGCTCCAAAGCCACAGAAAAACCCTGTCTCGAAAAAAATAAAACTACAGAGAACTTACTGGTTGGCACCTCTATAGAGCTACTCAGGGTCCTCCATGGTCACTGAGGGTCATATTTTTCTTTTGCTCTTTAGTGCAGGGCCTTCCAGGCTTCAGATGATCCTGTGGGCTAAGAAATCTGTAGGAAGACAAGCCTACCTTGACCAGAGCAGCTAGGCTGTCGA